GAAAAGAACCAAGCTCAGAGAACCCCAGGGACTCCACAAATCAATAACTGTTACGTCTCCAATGTAATTTGTGAAACATTTATGTTAATCTAATTTGCCAAGAAAGTTTGCTTTACTATTTGAGAGAAACCCCAGGGAAAGTTAGATACCCTGCCCCTGGGTGCTTCCAGAGGAATGTTTTAAATTTTATGCTGACTCTCCCATCATTGCCAGGGAAATAATTCAAGAAAGACAAGACAAAAATGTGAGATGTTTGTTAATACATGTTGCTCCCATGTTTACGGACCTTTTCTCTGTCCAGGCAGATAAGGATGAAAGGATAATCATCTACTGATTAGAAAATCATGCAGAAGCTTTTCTTTTCTTTTCTTTCTTTCTTTCTTTTTTTGTAGGTTTTACATCATGGGCAGATTTCAGGCCTTCATGTTCTTCCTTCTTTTGGGGCTGAAACTTTCCAAAGCAGAAGGCAACTGTATCTTTGTAGAAGTCCAACAGCGCTGTACTTGTTCACTTCTAAACCAGACAGAATTAAAAAATGTTGCTGTATGCCTCCTAGCTGCTGAGTATGAACTTAAAGGAGGAAATCTGGAACAGTTTGTAGACTTTTCTGAAATCAAGCCAGATTCAAATATAGTTGGCATCCTGAGAGCCGTGCAAGTAAAAAAGCTCATTTTTACTGACCTCTTTGTGCCAGAGGTTCTCTTACCAGGAGCCCTGGAATTTATTTCCTATACTCCTCTCGTTTCAGAACTTGAATTTGTTAATTGCACTTTCCTTAGACTTGAACGGTGGCAATATACAGGACCCTTGGATCTGAAGGTTACCTCTCTGTATTTCCACAAAGTGATTGCTGCCCCTCTGGATGAGAGATTTGATATATCCAGTCTGAACAGGTGGCTGGAGACCCTGAAGAATCTGACACTGACAGAGTCACAAGTTACATCCATCCCTTGCAAGGTTGGCAGAGTATTCACAGCATTATATTTTTTGGATATTTCAGGAAACCATTTCCAGGACCAGAGCATAAACTCAACATTCTGCAAAGGTGCTTTCCCACAGCTTCAAGTATTAAAACTAAATCACAATAATTTGACCTCTTATGAGACTTTGTGCAAGAGTCTTAGTAATTTTGGTATGCTTACTCACTTAGATTTGAGTCAGAATGACTTCCTGCCTGGAGCCTTCTCCTTCCACTGTACATGGCCACAATCACTTCAGATTTTTAATTTATCTAACACAGGATTAGAACATGTGGATAGATTACTGCCTCCCAACATTAAGGTATTAGATCTGAGTGCCAATAACATCTTTACTCTAGATCTCACACACTCTGGTTTGAAAGAGCTCTACTTGTCCAATAACAGACTTCAGACAATCCCCTCAGTCCATCAGCTTCCTAATCTGGAGGTCCTGAATTTAGATGGAAACTGCATGTCAAGGTTACAGAGCAAGGATCTACTGTATTTGAAACATTTACAGAGCTTAAGAGCTGGCCACAATCTCTATAACTGTTCTTGTACTTATTATATCAGGGAAATCCAAGACTTAGCAGCCAAAGAATCCTTGCTGCTTGATTGGCCTCAGGATTATGTATGCAAGTCCCCTCCTATTTATCAGGACTATCTGGTAAAAGATGTGCCTGTATCACTACTATATTGCAATAGGACCCTGATCAGTCAAGGCTCAGTAGTCATCCTATTGATGTGCCTTTCCCTTGTTCTTAATTTGCTTCCAGTGTAGCCATGAGAATGCTAATTGCAGTGCTTGAGGATGGGACTGGTTAAGCATTTTTCAAAAGTGATACAGTATCAGTATAGAACGGTAAAGAACAGCATGCTTATTTGAAAATATTTCATGTTGATATTTGTTTGTCATCAAGTCTCACCAGCTGGCAAGACAACCACCACCAGTTATTTTCCTCAAAGTTGTGAGGAGTGTTTGGATGGGTGGTTGGAACTCATAATTCTCTCCAGGCTTTTCCAAAAGAATTAAATAGTACTTTGCACTTCAACATGGTGAATTAACTTCCCAGAGGTTAAAACTAAAGATAAAAAGGGGGGAGGAGAGACACACACAGCGTGAAGTGGGAGGGAATTCTCACAACATACCTCCCAATCCCTCTGGTGATCTGCCACCTGTTAGGTTATTTTTTAACACAGTAAAATATTCAAAGGATTGGTGTACATATTTTCAAGAATTGTCTTACTTTTTTTATGTTAGCTGCAATTAAAAAAAACATTTTGTAAAAAGAATAGAAGCATACTCTGTGAAGAGGTTTAGGAAAACTTCTACTGGAGTTTGCAGGTCTGTAAAGATCCATCTTATTTCACATGTACAATATTATGGTATAATTGACATATAAGCAGCTGTTAATATGGATGCAAATTGATTAATATATTGTAAAATCAAATAAGAAGCCCCCCCCCCATTCCAATTAATACTCTGCTGTTAGTAATGCAGGTGTTTCATGAGGCATTTTTCAGTAGAGACATGACATAAAAAATGTCTAATCTAGAGAGTAGTTGAAATTTGGACAGACCATTCGATCTTCCAGTTCTTTCCTGTGTGTCTTGTACAGCTTTTGCTAATTCACTTGGTTAATTCTATCATATCTTGGAAATATTTGTCCCTGAACCATCTCCTGAAGATTTATTGTGATTATTTCTAAAATGTGGGCATCCTTGACCTAAAAGAATACATCCACCTGAATAAGGAAAAGTGGTTTCCCATAGGTCATGGCAACTACAGAAGGCATCATGGCTGATGGGAAAGATCCTTACCTTGGAGTGCTAAATGGCCGTCCATTGCATGTGGATCTACGGGCACATCAGACTGCAAGACAAGGCATTACTTGTGTCAAGATATTCACTGTGCATACGAGCATCAGATTGTCTGCTTTCACTTCACCCATTCTTTATGCCACAGTCTCTCCTTCTGAAACATGCACTCACCTGGTAATCTTGCACTCTTGGAGAGGCATCTATAATGGTAATGGTAAACTAATCTGCTTACTCTAATTTGGAAGCAATCCTCCAATAATTTTAAGATGATCTTTGAAAGGAGTTATGGGGGGGAAAAGATAATTTTTGCAAAAGAGTGAAATGATACATGGTGATTTAACTTCATGGAGGATAAAAATGAGGCTGAGAAAGTAAGCTTGGAGGATCAGGAAAAGTATTAACTCATTAGAACTCACCTAAGAGAAGAACCATTCCCAGGAAGGCAGACGCATTTGGACATGTCCCCATTTTTGAATAATCTAATAAACCAATCATGAGAACCTAGATTTTTTCCCAAGTACAGTATAGGAAGAAATGCAATAGAGAAGATTTAACCTGTCTCAAATGTCAAATATCTACTTTTGTAGTGTCTCACTCTTTAGTATCCATTTTTTAAAAAATGCAACACTGATGTTACTACTATAGGTGGTGTTTCAGAACAAGCTTCAGTGAAGCTTGTAGCTGTATCTGAAAACAGCTTCTAAATAGTCTTTGAAAGGTATTTTGCTGAATGATCAACAGTTTATTAGACAGATGGAAGAAGAGATGGCAGATTTTCTCAAAATAGGTGTTGTGGGATGCTCCAGAAGCAATGATTTGAAATTATCTCATTGCATACACTTCATATGAAGAACCAGCTCTAGCTAACATTAAATACTTCAATAGTAAGCAAAAAAAAAAAATGTTAACTTAAAATGTATCCTACTCTTCTGAACAATAGGTCACTTGTTTTCTGTTAAATGTGAATTTAATGCTCTACTGGGGAACAGGTGAGAAACCTAGTAAATTATTAGCTTTTACATATAAATGAATTAAGCAGTATACTATATTTTGTTTGAACCCCACATAGGAAAAGGTACTGTATACTGTACTAGTTCTAGATCTACCATTCAACAATGTTTTTTTAGTATCTTGTGTACTGCTGTAATTCTTTGTCATATAATGATATACTTTTTTACAGAATGAGAAACATTCACAGCTAAGACCGACCAGATCACATTACACTTTTTCAAGGAATATTGAATATAATTAAAGCCATGGACCTGGGGAAGACTCTTAACTTTCCAATAGATTACAGTAGTATAAAAAGTTTTATTAGACGGTTTTTAAATCTCCTGTGTTGCCTCCTATTTCATTAGCGATATATGATAAAGCTTTTAAATAATCCCTTCTATCCTCGACTTTTATTTGAGAACATTTGAGAAAGGTCCTGCTGTGCATTTCAACTATAAACTTATTTCTTTGATAAAATCTTAGTATTCATACAATGTCTGTATAATGAAACTTGAGCTTTCTTCTATTATTCAGGCACTTTATACTGGATTTAGAAGGGGCCATCAAGAATTGCAAACTGATATAATAGCTTCAACCATTATAATCCAACAATGACTATACTTTTGGATATTGATAATATTCAAAATTTTGGGATATTGTAGATTTTTATAGTATCTGAAGCTGGCTTTGATTGAGTATAAGTTTCCCAAAGTTTTGGCCTACAATAAACTTGGCTTATTCAGCTCCTAAAACATAAATGGCATGTTGTCTCTTTTTTAAACATGTCAAGAGGGCTTCTATCACCTTTCCTTTCTAATCTGATCTTACAGATTCTTTCTGGGGAATGATAGACCACAGACAAGAAGTGATTCCCCCCCCTCCTTTGTTAGGGGGAGGATTGTATTGTGCAAAAATAAAGATTTGCTTTTCAAAAACTCTGAGGTTATATCCATTTATTTCTAGAGTCCTGTGGTGGTGCTTTATTTTTTTATTCCTGTATCTCTTTTTCCCCCCTCTTTTTCTCAGATTTACCTTTACTGTATTTCTGAGCCTTATTTCTATATTAGATATATATTTTTATATCTTCTATATTATTATTATCCCACTTTTTTTTTTTGCCAACTCAAGGCAGCAAACATACCTAATTCTTCCTGCCTATTTTTTTCCCCACAACAACAACCCTGTGAGGTGGGTTGGGCTGAGGGAGAGTGACTGGCCCAAAGTCACCGAGCCGACTTTCATGCCTAAGGCGGGACTAGAACTCACCTGATTTCTAGGCCACCACCTTCACCACTACACCAAACTGGTTTTCATGTTTATCCTATATTTCCCTAAGTTTCTAGGAATTTCTATACGTGTATCATATCTAGGCTCTATCAGGTTGTTTTCCTCCTCTCTCCCCTTTTTCATGGGCAGGCTTGAATAGACCACATCTGGCTTAATTATTGGGCCCTGGCCTTGGCTGCACTCCCAGATGTAAAGGGCAGAGAAAATAAGGTCCCTTTCTGCTCCGACTGAGTCCTTTCCCATCTTTGGCTGCCTGGGGGGCTGCCTCGTTGACGTTTTCTAGGGTCTGGGCCTCAGTTGCCCCTAGCCTGAACTGGCCTTGGTGGCTTCTTCCTGGGAGAGGGAAAGTGTGCTACTGGGCTCTGCTGCTCTTCTTAGTTCTCCACCGCTCTCACTGGGACCTCCTGCCATAAAGAAGCACTGCCATTCTTTTCCAGCATGGCTCACTTGGGAACTGAGCACCACAGGACAAAACGGAAGAGGGGCAAAGTGTAGACACTTTCTTTATAGGCAGAGCCACTTCAAGGAATTGGGAGCCCACTGCAATAGCAGGTTTGGAGCCACCCCATGCCACAGGCCTAGGTTAACGTTGCAAATCTTGTTCTGTAAGACATCCAAACTCTCTATTCAGAAGAGAATGCCAGCAGAACTGGAACTAAACATCGAAGATGCATGGAGAACAAATGTACTGGCTACAAGTCACTGTACCATAAAATCCTACTTTGCAGAATGACCCTATTTCTTTAGTCATTTAAATAATTTATATTATTTGACCCCATCTCGTAACAGTGACTACGGGCATTTTACAAAGATTGAAACTCAACAATGAAAAGAATAACCCATGTGCCGTGGGGAAATAACACCTTCCTCATAAAAAGCACAGCAAACAGGCTAGCCTAACCTACTGGCCTGAATGCTTGGAGGTCTTCAAAGGCTTATGGAAGGCAAATAGCCTGATCTATTTGTTGGCTAACATGGAGCTGAATTAGTTAATGGGGGGACTTACACAGCTGAAAACCCTGTTGGCTTGCAGTGAACACAAGATGCTTTCTTGGGGTGGAGCAATGGAGGCAGGCAAGTGCGGCCTCTTTGCTTTTATGCCATTGCTTGCCCTTTGTCCACTTCAGCCTGCCACTCTCCTTAAAGGGCCCTCACTGTGTATTATGTCAAGGAAAAGAAGCATTCTAGGCAACATAGCACTCAATGGATGAAAGGGATAATTATACAGAATGTGTCCTAAATAGCTCTCTCACTCTCTGCTCCATGCTTAACAAAAAGGAGAGTTTAGAGTGGTTTGTGCTACACAAGAAGAATCCCACATACTTAAAGAGATTCCGAAATGACAGTGACACTTAAATGACAGGAAAAGAAATTATTTTTATTGATGATATTGATCTGCAAGAGAGGACCTGATATTGAATGGTGGAGGCTGATTTGGGCCAGGTGCATCCACTGTGGAGCCCTTGGATAAGTCCCACGTCCCATGTACTAGAGAAAAATTGAATAGGTTGAATAAGTGTTTTCAAACTTGGTAACTTTAAGACATGTGGACATATTGGCTGGAGGAATTCTGGGAGTTGAAGTCCACTTCTCTTAAAGTTGCTGAGGTTGAGAAACCCTATCCTAAGTAATGATGGCAAGTAAATATAATGGAGCTGTCAGTTTTCAGTAGTGCATTTGGTAGATATCAGGTCTGCTCCATCTTCCCAAGTTTTTAAATAACTTTTGAAGCTAAGCAAATAGTGCTGGGTGATAAAAGAATCTCATTATTACTAACCAGTCACTGATCAATTTTTTTTTTTTTAATCTGCACTCAGTCGTTACCGACTCTGCAGTGACTGCTTTTGGACGAGTCCTTTGCAGTTTTCAAGGCAAGGTGTAATCAATTATTTTACAAAATTCTTAATAGTTTCCTTTATAACAAATGACCAAAAATACAATTCAAACAGTAAACATTTTCATATTCCAGTTTAGACATTGTTCAGTGACACTGAACTTGGACACGGAACCAAACCAGATTCAATCCTAACAAAAGTTAAAACAAAAAACAAAAACCCTAGAAGGGATGATTCCACACATGTGAAAGACTAACTGCAGTGAAAAAAGAAAAAGAAACATTAGATAATTATCCTATTTTGTTAGGTTTATCAGAGATCAAGAATAATAAAGATAAACCAAGTATTTATCAGAAAAAGGAACATAATACTTTTTTTGGAAATCTACACTGGTGGCATTTGGAGAGTATAAATGGAATTACCGTACAACCATATTTGCAATTATTGTCTGCAATTATTAATTAATTTGGCTACAGAACCATAGAAATGCTAATGATAACAAAATCTCATCTGATACTCAAAATAATAAAGAAATAACTTGAGAAAGTTTGAAGCTACTTGGCCAAAAAAGAATTCAAATTACCATTACATTCTTGAATTTAAATGAAAACATTGCAGAGCATCATTTGGAAAAGTAAGCATGTATATTATTAGCTTAAACTTGTTACATATTTAGCAAATCCAAGAAAGAAAAGTTAGGCAAACTTTAGGGAACAGAAAATAACTGTGTTTTGTTATTGCTTCAGAAATCTGTATCTGTTCTTGGGAACTATCTGGGAGCAACAGATTCTTTATAGGAGCAAGTAACACAGAACAAAAACAATCTGCAAAAGGCACTTAATCACCTATAACATTTATAAGACATTTGTGTTAGAGCAAACCTCTAGGAAAGAGCAAAAATAAAATACCCCCTTCAGAGAATGGTTAACCGGCACTTGGGTGAGCTGACCCTTCCAATTCAACCCCAAGTATGATTAAAAAGCTACCGGGATGGAGATGGGCAATCTGGAGACAAAATTCTAGTGGTACTTACAAATAAAACATAAATTCCTCCCTTCTGAAGGCTCAGAAATCTGGTCATTAGGTAGCCAGAAAATGGAAGACTGCTTTCTAAGATCCCACTTTCTTATTATTATAGCAGATTCTGCAAAATCATGGCCACACATTAAAAAAACAAAACGAACTTTACTTATTGTCTTGTGGAATGAAGATCTAGCAAACAGAAAGTTCCAGGCATTTTTACCCCATGTGGCAAAAAAGTGGGCTTCTACACAAGAATCTGCTTTTTTCATCAGGGGTTAAAGGGGTTAAAGTTTGGAAGAGCTTAATTGGTAATTTAAATAAAGCTGAAACTGCTTTGGAGTACATTATCTTAGAGAGTGATCATAACTTTTTGATAAACAATTCCACTCAAATGGTCATTTTTATACACTATAGATTAGTAAGAAACTGAAGGTATGCAATCCTTTGGGCCTACATGATATATCCACTTTCCTAGGATAGTGTAGTCTACAAGAGAAAACTGTAATGTATAATCCAGTGATTTTGGGGGTACAACAGCTTTGTGAAGGTGTGGATCCATACCAAAAAACAAAGTATCATATAGAAAAGAGAGGGCATACACTCCTCATGCCACTTTGGACCACCACAAACCATATATTCTGTATCTGGCAGAGGATCTTGTATGAAACAGAATTGAATTACATAAAGTCTGATGCTTTATTTGGGCCTGTTCCGTCCACAATATGCTTTGAACTATCTGAAAAGATTTGATTCAATGATATCTTACACAAGATTTGCTGCCATCCAGGGTTCATCCATATTTTGCAGCTTAGATACGGTAGCTCTCTGTATCTACATCAGAGAGAGAATCCGGTGCAAGAAGCCACCAAATCTCTTTGTTGCCACCTGGTGGCTGTGTGGGTTTTGCAGCCTGGTTTTGACAGCCTTCTTAGTGTGCATACACATACAGGTACATACATACATGCATAGACACGCACATCCTTATTTAGTGGACAGATTTGGTATACAATAAATATACCCAAATGAGAAACCTCCTAGGGATCAAATCGCTTAGCTTCTTGACAGATCAATTATCACATTCAGCAAAACAAAAAAAGAAGAGAGCTCTTCTTTTAGTGTATGGTGAACAACTGACCGAGAGTAGCTCACTGGATGATTTCTGGGCCAGTCACTCTCGTTTAGCCCAATGTACCTCACAGAGTTATGGCTGTGTGGAAAAATGGGAGGAGGGCACGTTGTATACTGTCTTGAGTTCCTAAGCAAAAGCTAATTTAACAAATAAATAAATACATGAAAAAAGAAACTGATTCTGGAGATTGAGGAAGACCTTGTGTCTTCAGTACAGTTTCAGTACAAGCAGCTGAAATAACCAAAAGCACACAACCTAGAAAGATGGTTGGAAGATCAAACTGAGTGACATGCAGCCAAAGAGAGGCCATACGGTGGGTACTGCGGGCTTCCATGGGCATACGGGGCTCCCAGATATAAGGGCAAGTTGCCTATGCTGAATCAGTCTTTGGTGCAAGAATAAGAATTAGGATACCAATGATTTCTTCAAAGCAATTAAAAGTACCACAGAGGTGACAATGAAGGAAATCTACCCATTTTTAAAACTAAAAAAGTGGTATAAAGGAAGTAGAGATAGTGACAGTCAGGATCAGCAGCACCCACTTAGTACAATCCCAACAATTACAGCCACAACAAGGCAACCAATATTCAGTGACCTCTAATGAATTTTCAGGATGTGCAGAGAAAAGGGAAGGATCACTTTTTAACTTAGGAAGAAAAAATGTTTTGTTTTTAAAGAAGAAATCCACATCACTTTTGTGGCAAACATAGATGTTGCACAAGTAAGGATTCAAATCAGCAAAACAGGATACAAATGAAATGCATATGTCAGTATAATACATATACATGATTAGGGGAAAGCTGCTATCTCACGCCATGTTTCCTGGCATCAGCACGTTTATAGCAGGCATGCTGTAACAGCTGCTTTTCACTCCAGTAGAGAGAGACTGCGTGGCTGTCCAAACCCAGACTCTCATCTGATCTAAGCCCCAGGACAGCTGAAGCAGCAACATCAGTTTCATCCCAGAACTGTGAACCTTATTTTAAGCAGACCTGCTGAAATGTTATGATTTGTCCATTATAAAACACTTTTCCAGTTAATAAGAATGCCAAAAGTGGAGCCAAAGAAGTCAAACATGTCTGACCTATGTAGAACTGAAAGAGATGAGATGCTAAAAGATGCTTTTTTTTTCCTGGAGTGAACAGTTGCATGAATATTGTTGCATCTTCTAGTCTGATCCTTTCCTGAATGAACTGAAGTAGTCTTTGATTGTCTTTTCAACATCAGGAATTGCATATGTCTGAGCAGCAAACACTCCGGTACAACTCCCTGCCAAGAAGCCTATGACTGCAGAAGATCTCAGTTTGGCTACAACAAATCCAGCAAGAAATCCTTTGAGAAATGGAGAGGCCAGCCAAGAACTGTCCTGTTGAAAAAAATGAAAAGGAAAAAAATAAGACAAAGCATTTGAACAAAAAAAAAAATTACCTACTTCCTCTAGAATTCAAAGCTAATATAATGTTATTACTAACCAAGTAAACATATATACACTCACAACTCCAGATGCAGACAAATACTAACATTAAACAAATAATACATTGTTCCCTAATGACAGGGTTGTTTAAACTGCACTGCATCGGACCTCACGGCTGCCTTTAGGAGAAAGATGTAGTTAAAAGATTTCCATACATAAGAACTGAGAAGCTTGGGTGCGCTTCTTTTTTGATTATTGAAAGAGGATAATTTATTTGCTATATAATTTGCCTTTAGACATGCCCTTTGGGTCACAAGTAGCTCCAAAAACTGAATTATTGATTGATACTACAGTAACTCAGTGCAAATTGGTGTACTCCTACGTTTCTTCGTTTTCCTGTCAGCTAAATTTAGAGAAGGTAATTTAATTTTATATGCATATGGTGCTGAACACCACATAGACTTAAAGAGACATGCGTATTTATTGAAATGCTGAAGAAGTTGAAGAAATCTTATATGTGGCTGCACTGAGATAATTAGAACTTTCTGGTCCTAACCTATTTGCCTTGAATTGAATCCTGATCTTTTTGACAACCGATCTTATCTCATGATGTCCTTTTAGTACTATCTATATTTCAAGACCTTAATTAAACTTTAATAAGCAAATACTTAATTAGGCTATTTCTGAACGAAGCACACAGAGATAAGATGTTGGAAGCTGGCAGAGTTTTTATCTACATTTGGATCGAACATAATCCACTGCATTAATAGTGCATTAATGGATAAATTATCATATGCAGTATTTATATTGTACTGCATTAAGAGATAAATTAAAATATACAGTAAATTCTTAATTTAAAGGAAAGGAAGGGGTGTCCAGTACAGCTGAACGTCCATTTTTATTTTTGGGGTGGGTGGGTGTTGGTAGTAGGTTTAGTTTAGAAATTATGATGTTGTTGTATAGGTTTGTATTTGATGGAATATAACTGTTAGCAGTTCATACTTAGTTGACATTTATATTCAAGCATCTCTGTAGCAAATGAACAACATAAACTACCAGGAAAATAAATTAAAGCAACTCCATCCTTACCTGCCCCACTCCAGCCTGTACCTCATTTTCAACTTTTCGTTTCAAGCTTTCCAACTGATCCTTCAAAAAAGCAAGATCTTTCAATTTTGGTAGAGAATCCTATATATTGGAAACAAAAAAGCATATTCCAAATTGCATGCACAATCCATTTCAGTATCCTTGTTCCAGAAAGCAAAGAACTGAGAGCCAATGTAGTGCAGCAATTCCAGAGATTTAGCTAATTTCTAAGAGTAGTAGTCTGTGTGAAGCTATCTCACATCATGGAGGACACAAGGCCTTTTTTTTAAATGTGTCTCACTTCTCTCCAACAGCTTAACATCAAAACAATACTGTACATCCATGTAACACAATTTAACTGCATGCTTTTTGGAGTGGGAAATAATAATTCATTAGTGGACTATTTTTCAAATATTAGTTTATACCAACAATATGCAACTTTTGTTCATCAAGGCTTGCACCAGATATATAACCAGGTCTCAGGGGTGGGGACCTACATTCAGACAGGCAGCTTAACAAAAGCACTCTCACCCACCACTTCCTGTTATGCCTCAACTCCCAAATAACATCCTCCCCATTGGTAGTTGGAAGACGGGTTTGAAGGACTTGGGAGTAAATGGAAATATGCTGCTTCCTTTAAAGGCATGCCTACAACTGTGGGGGAGGCAGATGCATCCACAGGACAGATCCCTTCATCAAAATGATGAAAGCAAATCACACTGTAAGCTCTGTCCCTTTTGTATGGGCATAAAATGTCACGAGGCACATACAACAGGCATGGAGCTTGCACTGTCACAATGCAATAGTGCTTCTGAAATCTGTCCCCTTGAAGCCCCTGCAAGTGTGCTGGAGGAGGGGAAGAGAACCTGTATTAGGCTGCATAGACAGCTTTGGAACTGTGGCATGCTACTGATACAAGGTAAAGCTATGAAAGCTGTCACAGTTGCACCTATCAAAAATATTCTTAACTGGCCATAATAAAATTTGGCTGATTAATTAAAGATTGCATATAGCTGGATAGTCTAGACTGAAAGGAGTATTTCCAAAATCACCATCAAATCATAAATCCTATTACAGTCTTGGGTTCTGTACTTCATGGAACCATGACACAAAATACAGATTCTGGGCACAAATCCTAATGCATTCCCTGAAGTTTAATATGGGATTCCCACAAAATCCATTCTCAAATCCATATGCAAAGTCAAAGCCAAAAAAGTAGCAGACTCCAACATTCTTTTCTTTCTTTAGTTTGTCTTTAGTTCTTTTTTATATTGTTCCTATTTATCTTGTTTATTTTTATTCTGTTTACTATATTGTGAGCTGCCCAGAGTCGTTCTGCAGTCAGGTGCCACTAAAGTGAATAAATGAATGAATAAAATTCTAGGTGACGCAAAAATAAGTACTTTGGGCATGGTTTCTCATGAATCCTATGAACTGATACAGAGAACGGTTGTCCTCCAGGGCTTACCATTAAACTACAGATCAGCTCTATCTGTGATATGAACATTGGGGAATATTTTTCAACAACCAAGAACAAGGTGAATCATGATTATGTAAATGTCATGAGGATCCATGCTTTCAGTGCACATCTTTGTGCTATGCAGCCAAAAAAAGCCAGTTCCGTGACTTTCCCGATTTATTCTATGAAGACAGACGCATTCCACGGTTCAGATCCACAAGTTTCTGCACGGGGCAGCACAAATCTTAGCGTCTCTGGCTTTAGGTGGCAAAAGACATGCAATTTGGAATTTGACAGCCGGTTTGGGAAGGTATCTAAGTAACGGGAACCCCCAAAGTTGATTTCTTGGATCCGATCCGACTTTTCACGGGCTACCCGACTCGGGTCCAAAGGCAGCTTACAAAAAAAAGGCGTCCACGATACATGACGAGCTGTAGGCTGCCCACTGCAGCTTCCCATCCCCGGCCGACGCCAGCAAGCCCCCAGGGAAAGAGAAAAGACCGAGCGCGAATGACCACCCGGAGCGAACAGGACCATCCCACTCCCGCGCCTACCTTATCGTCCGCCATGTTTTTAGCCGGAAATTACCCAGCTTCCTTCTGCACATGCGCAGAAGAGAGGGCAGCCCTCGTTTTGGACTCAGTCTCTGAAGGCTCAAGTTTGGAAATTTTCTACGAAAATGAGTGGGGAAGCCCAGATTTTAACACGGCTGTCAATGGACAGCAACGCATTCATTCCTATACAAATGCAACAGCGGAGAGACAATGATGCGCTGAAGTCAAACTATCTTAATTGGTTGGAAACGTTTGAAATTCATTGTAACAAGATGGTTTAAAAGCTAGATGAATTCGCAACGGGCCGGAATAGGCACTTTTGAAATGCAATTGAAATAAGCATGTGTTCCAAGTAAACAAGAATACGATTTAAGATTTGTAACTCTTTTGGCATTATTCGTTTAATAATCCCAAAGTCATTCAGAATAGCCCAGAATATCAGTTTCTAAATTCATCAAGCCAGCCGAGTTCATTAAGTTACAGTAAACGTGGGACTGACGCTGTAAGATGCAAATCTTCCCCCGCGGTTATTGCCGCATTTAAATTCCCACCTTTCTCACAAGAACTCAAGAATGTAGCAGGAGCCCCCTCCCCCCCCATGACGACCCCTTTCATTCTGGCTTTTCACTGTCCCCAAAGTATCATCAACATTCTTCTGGCAACGTATTTATTTCATTTCCGCCTTTCCTTCGGGTGCTCAAGACGGCGTACCTAGCGCTTCTGTTGTTTTTTCCCCACAGCAACCCCGCGACTGGGGTGGGCCCAAGAGAGCGTGACTGGCCCAAATTCCCCCAGCGAGCGTCGGTGGCTGAAGACGGACTGGAGCTGCTCTGAGTTCAACGCCTTCACTGCTCCACCACACTCTTCTGTCCGATTTGGGTGTGGTTTTAGGTGGGACTTGTGAAAACTCAAATGACACCAGGAGGACCAGCGTTTGGTTTAACAGATCTGCCTTTCACTTTCTTTCCCCACCTTCGACTGTTGCAGTCCTCCGGGCTGGAAGTAATCAGCGTGCCCTCTCGCCTCTAGGTGGTGCTGCCAGCTCGGGCTTCCTTCGCGGGAGCAGAAGTCCCGCTGAACTCAGCCAGGCTCGACCTACATCGCGCGCTGGCGTCATCGCACTCAGCCCCCTCCGCCCCTCCTTCTCTTCCTCCCCGTGGCTCGGCTCGGCTCGCTCGGCTCGGCTCGGCTCGGCTCGGCTCCGCCCCGCCCCGCCCCGCCCGCTGAGGCCAAACTCGGCGCCGCCCTCTGCCGCACCATCGCTGCTGCCTCCCTCCCTCCCCGACGAGTTGCACAACATCTTGCCTCCCGAGCGAGCGAGGCAGCTATGCTGGGCAAGGACTACATGCTGGCCATCATCCTGGTCAACTGCGATGGTGAGAGCAGAAGCCGCAAGACCCGGGGGGGGGGGGGTAGGGACGGGGGAGAGGCGACCGTATT